CAAGCGGCATCTCTTATGCATTTAAATGGACAAAACTTTTTTTACATAACTATACTCGTGATCATGTGTTTTGGCCAGGGAATCCACCTGACAATTGTATTCACCGATAGTACAACAAAGGAATTAATACAGACGCAAATCGCTTTTGCGGTATGACTTTCAGAAACCTAGACTTCCGCCGTTTTTTAACAAATGAATTGTTTGTCATTAGGAGCATGAAATAATATTTTTAAAAATGCTTTTCATTTACCATAAGATTTTCCTTTTTTTTCAAGCGTAAAATTCCTGTAGTATTCGTAGTAATTAACCCATAATGCAATACTCATTCAGCTGATTGGTCAGTTAAAATCATGCTGGTGCTGGTGCCTCATTTGCTAATCTGTCGCCAAAAAATATAGTCCCGGTTCCCATGCAAAAATATTTGTCCAAAAAGAAATTTTTCAAGACTGCAGAAAATTGTATTATAAAGAATATTTATTTAAGTTTGAATGAATGTAAAAGAGTCGATTGATTGAAGTACATTTCTACAGACATTATCAGCTGATTCTAGGATGGTGAAAACTGAAACGCAACATAACTTTTCTGTTTACCATGCCTCCACGTGCTAGTCACTTCCTAGCCACATTTCCGTGAATAATTTACCCTATCTCGCTGAAGTCTCGCTAACTCTCGCCAGAGCCACTGCCAGAGCTACTCTGAACTCATCAGGTTTTATAATTTGCAGAACACCGAAAAATAAAAGGTTCCGAACACATTAGTAGGGGTGATTGATGCAGGCATTGAACGACTCCACAGACAGATAATGCAGGCATTGACTAATCCAGTGTCTGTCAACAAAGAGATTGATCGATTCGATTATCGCTGTTGATACATGTAGCAATATATAGTCCGGTTTCATCCCAGAAATGGTTGCATCCTTAATTCAGGATTTATGAATTGTTCAGAACTCTTATTTTCAGAAAACAATATTTTGGTGATGTTACGAGCAGTTCAACTTCATTAACATGTCCATTTACAAAAGATTACCGGTAATTAAAGGGGTTTATGATCCTAGATGTCTCCCTAGATCACATGAGTTTCAATATTATTAAGTCGCATAAGTTTCTATATATAGAAACATAATGTATTATAAAGTCGCAAGAGTTTATAACTCGAATATTAACTGGAATGAGTTTATAACATATTACATGTATTTAATGACCCCAGATGTCTTGTTAAGTTGCATAAGTTTCTTTATTATGTAAAGCCGCATAAGTTTCTTTATTATATAAAGCCGCGTGTTTCTTATTTATAAAGTCTGGCAAGTTTCTTTATTATAAAGTCGCATGAATTTCTATATTAAAATCACATGAGTGGCTATATAACTTGTATAAAGTGGCAAATTCCGACATCAAAGATGCAGCTCATATTGCTTTAAGTTGCACGAGTTTCTGTATTTTAATGTCGCATGAGTTTCTATACATGCATTATAAAGTCGCACGAATGTCTTTATTATAAAGTCGCATGCGTGTCTATATTATAAAATCGCATGAGTTTCTATATATTATAACATCGTATGACTTTCTATATTATGATGAGGATGAAGTACCTACCGGCTGTTACATACTGGTCCTGTAGTATCAGTGATGTGCAGTTATCTTTACAGTCTACATATGTGGTCACCTCGTAACAATAAGCTCTCATGTGGGGAGCGTTGTTAAGTCTTCGGCAGTATGGCAAGTCTGCAGGATAAAATCAAAAGTTTATATGGATTGTTTATACATGTACATGTAGTGCATTAACTACAGTTATTAAGGTGCACGGTATAGCTAAAAATTCCCTTCTTCCATAAAAAAATGTACGAATTAGATATTTGTTTCTCCTTTATTCTTGGGAAAACCCTAGACGTTTACTATGCAGTAAATCCGCTATATAAATAAAAAAAAAGAGAATTTTATTGTTTAAATATTTCCATTTCTATTAATTTGCTTTCTCCCAATCTCTGTAATAACATTGAAAGTTAGGTGAGTTGTTTTTTTCATCAATTCTTCCGTAATGTTAATTGCTCCAAGCGATAGTTTATTATGGAAAATCATTTACTGAATTATATTGAACATCAATCATAAAATTATACTTGTAAATCTCCGTTAAATACCGAACACCTGTTTTCATCTGTTCATCATCAAGTCCACTTCTGATATGACAAAACCATAATTACAGTGAGTACAAGTCAGTTAGTGTATTGTATGATAACCCCTGCTCATATTTTCAGGTACTTTGTACTGATTAAACACGGTGGATTAAACTTTTGAAAGGTTGCTACAATCATTTTTTTTTAATTCTTTGTTCATCACAGAATTAACCAGTTAACTTTGGGAAGATGGAATTGGTGCTGTAGTACTAGTACTATATAAAAGGCATTACTGTATAAATCAGTTTAAATTACCTACTTCGGCCTTCCCCCAGTTTATGTACTTACCAGCTTCTGTGTAGTAGAGGATCCCAGCTACTGCTAACATAAAGCACACACCACAGCTTTTCATGACTTTCATTCTGGCAGTGTGAAGGTACCCGTTCTGCCAGACGCTGCTTTGTCACAAATAAAAGTCGGACGACACGCTTCATTGCACAAGAAAATTCGATCAGCTGTGCGCCTGAACGTAAATCAAGTCTATAGTTCCTGGTGTTTCACCACCCTGATTATGTTCCCCAAACGAAGTTGGGGAACATATTGTTTTTACTCTGTTTCTTATTATTATTTTTCTTCCTGGGAAAATTTTGTCCACGAGTGATCTTGTAAACTACACATCCGACTAAGGTGAAATGTTTTTAGGGTTAGTAGACATGTTATGTAGATTTGCGGAACGAAGGTCATTTTGCGCGCACGTGCTTGCAAGAGCGCGCACGTGCAACACGAGAAATGATCAATATAATTGATATGGACGTAACTTTTACAATTTTTGATGAAAGGCTTTGAAACTCATAATATAAGGATATATTAGTAGCATAAACAAGACGGCATGGTCAAAATAGCAAGATCTCACGCGCATGCACGTGTGCTTCGCTCTGATTGGCTGACATTAAAGTCTCAATATCTTTCTTGTTTTTTGACAAAATCCTTTGAAATTTTGAACATAGCCATGCATTGGGATATCCTACAACATGATATATAACAATTGTCATAAAAACACGTGCATGCACGTGCGCTGCAATCTGATTGGCTTAAACTTTAAATAGCTATTCTAACTCCCTTGGTTTTCAACCAACAGGATGGGATTTGGAACGTAGATAGATATAATGGATTCCTACAAGAAGATATGGTCACATGCACATGCATACACGTGCGAGTACGTGCACTGCAATCTGATTGGCTTAAACTTTAAACAGCTATAACTCCCTTGCTTTTCAACCAAACGGGGTGGGATTTAGGACATAGATAGATGTAATGGACTTCTACAAGAAGGTATCGTGACCATGCTCATGTATATGCACGTGCGTGCACGTGAAATGAGTAAAATCAAGAATACCCTTGAATGAACGTATTTTTTTAGATTAAATACTTTAATATTTAGTATATTAAAATATAGATATTTGACAAGATCATATGGTCATAATGCACATGCATTCACATGCGCACGCGTGCAATGCTAAAATTTGAATGAACTTGGTAAACTTCTGGGTAAACGTTGTTAAAATCTCAAATGCATAGAGTTTGTCTTATATAAGGAAGCTTACAGGGAATATGGCACAAAAGATAGTTGGGGAGCGTTTGGGGAACATCTGTAACGGTCCCCGTTACAATTAGCACTAGTTTCCTATTTATATGATCTCAGAAATATAAAAAAAAAGACATTTTTTTTTTACATGTCATTAAAGTAATTTTTATCGCTACTGTTAACTGGACAGCCATTGCAGAGAACTTGCAGATAATGGAAACTGTTATTCAAAATGCTGAAAGTCAGTTCTTTGGTTTTTAGCTTTACTGGTCAGAGACCAGAAGAGCTCATGCGATAGTAATGCGTCCGCCCGTCTGTCTGTCCGTCTGTCTGTAAACAATTTTTCAAAATGCTACTTCTCCTACAGTTTTTGTCTGATTTCAATATAACTTGGCAACTAGTAGACTACTCTAAGATACATAATTCTGTATATCGGTTTTTGATTTCGATGAACGGTGTTGCCGTGGTTACTAAAAATAGAAATTCGTGTAAAATTCTTTTAAAATGCTACTCCTTCTACAGTTTTGGTCTGATTTTAATATAACTTGGCACACAAGTAGACTACACTCGGATTTTGATTTCTAAAATTAAAATTTTGTATAAAATCCTTTTTAAATGCTACTCCTCCTACAGTTTTGGTCTGATTTCAATATAACTTGGCACAAAAGTAGACTACACTAAGATATACATAATTCTGCATATCTGTTTTTGATTTCGATGAACGGTGTTGCCCTGGTTACTAAAAATAGAAATCTGTGTAAAATTCTTTTTTAAATGCTACTCCTCCTACAGTTTTAGTCTGATTTCAATATAACTAGGCACACAAGTAGACTACACTTAGATACATAATTCTGTATATCGGATTTTGATTTCGATGAATGGTGTTGCCTTGGTTCCTAAAAATAGAAATTTCTGAGAAATATTTTCAAAATGATACTCCTCCTTCAGTCTTAGTGTGATTGTAATATAATTTGTCATGCAAGTAGACTAAACTGAAATACATAATATTATCAGTTTTGTGTTTTTGATTTTGATGGTTGTTGTTTCCATGGTAACTAAAATAGAAAATTCTGTAAAATTTTATTAAAAGCTACTCCTACAGTTGTAGTCTTATTGCAGTCTTACCACAAAAAGAGACTTAATCAAGGATCATTATTGTGTTTAATTGCTTTTGTAAAGTTTAAAGTCCCAACTGCTACTTTCCTCTCCTTTATCATAAGTATAAACCAGTAGAGCTACAGTCTCGACAGAGACTTCTGGTTACTTTTTTAGTTTCTAAGCCACGTGATTCAAGTATCAGAAGTCATTCAAAAGCAAGGGTTCTCAAATGTTCTGAATACAGATGATAAGGGTCAACTAACAGATAAATTGAATGACAAACATGGGGACTTCAGATTTTCCATCGTCAACTCTACGTTTTTATGTAGTTATATCCCTCTATCACCTGCATATGGTGTTATACATCTCTCAACTTATTCGATACCTAAGTGCCTATGCCCCGAATACGATCAATTTTTAATAAATCAATGCAGGCTACTGACAGATAAGTTGATGTTACAGGGTTTCGTGTTTATACGCAGCATTTCGTAAATTATAAAAACTTTACCTTGTATTATTAACCTCTGAATGATGAAACCACGCCCTCCAACAAAGCAACAGTCAACATTACTTGACGACAGGTGATATGCCAAAAAAAACGTCATATTCGTCAATGGAGATAATTAGAGTTTAGGGCAAACGAAAGTCGGGAAGTCACTGACTTGCAAGCATGTCAATATGAGTGAATTAACATTGGGTTAGGAACAAATAATTTATTGGGGGGTATTTAGGGGCAGGTACGATGTTCTTATCAAATCGTGTGTGTGTTGGGGGGGGGGGGGGGTCACAGGAATCTGTATTTCTAAGGTCAAATTTCGAAAGGATCAAAAAGGGAAAAAAATACGCTTTCACTTTTTAAGTATTTAATTCTAATTAAATTTAAATAAACTCAACTAAAAAAAGTAAAATAAAATGAAATAACTATGGAAATGTCATAGCACAAAACTCTGCATTATTTCTTTGGATAGACTGTGGGGTATCTCTGTTGGAAGTTTGTATCCCGCGGGGGCATCTTGCCGCAGACCCTGACACAGTCCTTACAGCATTCCCAGCCCGTCTTGATTTTGTCCATTAAAGGGCTCACACAGTATTCAAAACATTTCCCTGACGTTATTTTCTTCTGACAACGTTGGTCGAGAGATTCGGACAAAATGTTAGCGTTGTTTCCCCAAGGACAACCTGGGTTAAAAAATAAATATATGAAGTATATATAAATGCTTCCAATGTCTGAAATATGTGCTTGCACCCCCCTTTCCTTCCCTAACTGTTCACATGGAGTCAGGATCTGATCATTTCCAAAAGATTTTCAATGCAATTATATATCAACATCACGAGCAGAATCAATGAAACTTTTTGGAAGCCTCATCCTAGTACTTTTGTAGATTTTTTAAATACACGTTTTGGTCCCATTAACAGACAACCTGCGATTTTTATTTTTAGTGGAGACATGTGACAGATAAACCCCTGATGAGATTGAAGTCAATAAACTCAACATTTACACCTTTATATTAGATACATTTTCCTAAATAACAGCGGAGCTGTAGAAAGATATATTATACCTACCGGCCTCTACATATTTTGGGCTCAGCAACAATTCGCCACAAGTGGTCTTACATCTTGTATATATACTCTCTTGGTAGCAGTATGCATAATAGTAGCTGACATGGCGTAATCTACTGCAGAATGGAGCATCTGAAAGGTATATACGTTAGCATATTGAGCGTAACAAAGTCATTCATCTAACTAATTCTTCGTTTTAACCTTACAATGTCAATAGGGACAAAGTCAATGCTGACTGGTAAATATCTGGGACGGCTACAAATCCCACACCCTTTGACGATCAAGGGAGGTAATCAACCCAATAAAGGGTATTCATGTCTTTGTTGTACCTTTAAAATTTATTCCTATAAAATATATACGAAACAAAGGCTAACATTTCTAATGTTTTGCTGAGCGAGCATAAAACCGCTGAATAAGATGTTGGACTGCTTACGTCACAGAATGAGCGGAGCTTAATCTCATTTTCATTCGTTGGTGATCAACAGTGATGGACCTGAGGTTACATCGCGGAAGACAGTACAAAATACATGCATGTCAAAAATATTGAATGAAAGGTATAACAAAACATTTATTGACTATGTTCTCGGGCAAACTGCGCTTTGTCGATCCTCGAACCAAAATGTCTGCCTTCGGCCTAATAGCCTCAAGCAGACATTTTGGTTCGAGGGTCTGACAAAACGCATATTGCCCTCGAACTCAGTCAATAGATTTATAGTGTTGCCCTTTCTTCTTGGAAAACTGAAATTAAAGGCCCGGGCCGTCGGTCTTGAGGATCTCAGGGACTGAGTACGTCGTCTATTCATCAGTACAATTATTTAACGATAAGCAAAGAAAAGTATTATTTCTTTGTTAATGTTCAACAAACCCTCAATGCATCCTTCCCAGTTTCTCGGAATTTTCCTAAATAGGGTTAGTCTTGCACCCACCTGAGAGATTAGGGTTAGTCCTTGCACTAGTATTCGACTGATTAGGGTTAGTCTCGCATCCCTCCGAGAGATTAGGGTTAGTCCTCGCTCATTATATTCGACTGATTAGGGTTAGTCTAGCATCTGCCCGCGAGATTTCGTTTAAACCTCTTAGTCCTTGCATACCATCCGATGGATTACGGTTAGTGACTCGTTCTTTTAGATAAGTTAAGAATTTCAGTTGTTTCTGTATTTTTTCCAAGAACATCATTCAGCTTCAAAGGCATTTTGTTCGCTTGTGTACTTGGAAGAATGTCTAAGTCCGAAAGAAATGGCACTAAGCATGCGCCTCACGTGCTTCGATCAGAATTATTCTTTGTCGATTTTTTCCATGAATAAACAATATTTATTAATTTTTTTTAGAGAATAGGGTTACAAACGAAGTCTTAAACTAAACTTTTAACCGTATTCGATTTTGGGGTCAAAAGGCCAAAAAACCTCGTATTTAAAGTTTTTTTTCGATCGCTCACGCGACCTCACATATACTGAAGTCGCCTTCGGCGATACTACATTTCAGCGCGTTTTTCTGGGGACCGGTAAAGTAAAGTCGTTCCCCTATTTACAGTAACTTGAATGATAATTAAAAAAAAAAAGGATTCATATATAGCCATGTATCCGACTGAGAGTTATCTCTTTTCAAAGAGTTAATGAATCTAAAAAAAAAGAAAAGAAAAAGAAATACACAAACAAAACTTATGATGACAGTTGTTCATCTGTACTGAGTTTTACTAAAGGCCGTAAATTTTGCCGTAGACATAGACGTAAACGTAGACTTTACGACTTAATTTACGTGTGCGTAGATAGCGTTTTACTAAAGGTCGTATCAGCGCCCGTAAACGTAGCGCTACACGTAAAGATTCTCGTAAATTAAGACAGGAACTCTTCAGTAAAAGGTACAAAAACTAACCTAGTAACGGAAGCTACGCATGCGTATGATGTACATTTATTCAGATGAATCAAGAAAAAATATTAATAACTGAAATGAATAGACAGCATCATTAATCTATGAAGATAAGTATTAGTAAAAGAAATAATAGAAATATGATGGGGTTTCTCGATTTTCAAATTAATTTTGCCGACAAAAAATTAATTTTCCGAGGTGTTTTTTTAAAAATGATTTTAATTAATTTGCTATCAAATAAATAAGCAATTAGTCTTTATTTCTAAAAAAAAAAAAAAATCAGAATAAATGACAGTTGCGATTTTTAATTATCCATTTGATTTAGAAATATAATCTTAAAATGGGAGAAAGATATTAAACATTTAGAAGCCAATCAACAGTTATGAACCAAATAATTGCATATATATTTTTTTAAAACTTACCTTTTACCAGGCTGTTTGCATACGATTACGAGTTAGGTTATAGGCATATTGAAAAGTTTTTACAGTACGTGTATCTGCGCGCTACCAATTTTACATTGTATTATGTATCAATTGATAAAAAAAAAAAATATTCATTTCCATGAAATGTTAGAGAGAATTTTTTTTCCTGTTAACCCTGGTAACATCATGCAGAAAGGTGGAACAAAACAGCACGAACCACCAAAATTGAGGCTGGATAATATTTCACGATAAAAAATGCATCATTCCCAAGGAATTATTTCAAATAAAAGAATCAGTGATAAAACAGTTTTCCAACTGCATGCAGAAATTGAACATGAGTAACAAATCATGCAATTCATTAGTAATTTTCGTCATAAACATCCGGGGAACTCATTAGTCTCCATCATTAGACTTACTGCTTGTCTTTTACTAGATCTGTCCACAATATGTTTGGGCCTCGGACCTACATCCTCGGGTGACGTTTGTTCTGTGTACCTCGGGGTACTTACTGTTTTCCTTTTATTGGGTTTCTCGTCCTCCTTTCTAGGGTGAGATGGTGGCTTCTTTATGTCCAGCTCTTGACGATTTTTCTCCATCACCATCCGGGCGTACTCAAACTGTTTATGTCTCTTCTCCATCTAAACAATAACAGAAATGTATGGGCTTTTAATATTTGAAATTACTGCTGATCTTGACGATATTGTAATTGACTTCTGACCTTCACGATACTGTAATATTGACGATATTGTAGCCTTCAGCCTTTGACTTTATTATAACCTTTAGCTTTTGACCTTGACGATTTTGTGACTTTTATCTACTGACCTTTTCTTTGTAGGTCTCGTTGTCGAGGTCGGGACCTAGCGGCGCTCGACTCAGTCGAACTTCGTTCTGCATTTTCCTGTAGTCCTTGATCGTGTACACCTGGTACCAAGGCTTCTCCTCCGCCGGCTTGTTCTTATGTTGTTTGTACATCGAGGCGTAACCGTTTTGTTCAAACTCCGCTGAAAAGATAAGAGGTTCTAAAGTTTAATAACTTCCCTAGAAATATTATTTTCTACAGATCCAAAAAATTACCAAAAAAAGTACTAAAAATGAGTTAGAAAGCATCTGACTGGCATTCGGAAAACTGACACCAAACGTCCATAAATACATATAAAGTCGTATTATTAGGATAGGACACTGAAGCGTTCGTGGTAATTTGCACTAATTCACAAAGCGTGCACGAGAAGTAGAGGTGTCATAAAGTATTCACGTCAACGTTTCCCTAAAGATATAAAGCGTTCTCAGCAATGACCATAAAGCATCTTAGAGAACAAACTAAGCATCCCCACCCCACCCACCCGTGCCCTTTAAATGAACGTAAACAAGGAGAAGCGCGTGCCGAGGATTAGTTCTAGATAAAAAAGCTTCCCAACCCATTAGTTGGCTGTGATGAAATATGAAATGTTCATGAGCATGAACAACTGAAGAAATGCATGTCAGATTGATTTGTGAGGCTTTGAAGTATTTTTTTCAAAAATCAAACACAGTTTTACATTGTAAGAAACAAAGTTCTTTGGTCTAAAATTTCTTATCAAATGTTTATGACAATCGATACATATTGTATCGTATTGATGCATATCATTTTTAAATTCTTTGTAAACAGATATGCTTTGATATTTTTTTCCGCCATATGCTATGCATACATTTACTGTGCTATGTTTTGTCTCTCAGTCGCCTGAGCTGAGTAGGTCAATACAGCCATCAATTCATTTTTCTTTTAACGCATTTTAAAATTACCATGATTTTGTTCTCATAAAGCAAGAGATTCAATTTTTCTCTCTACCATTAATCAATGCTAGCATCACCTCATTAGACCAATGTAATTAATATATTGCAAAAAGAAATCAATCATTGAGCGTTTAAAATATTTCTACCGAAAAAAAAATCCCTTGTGATCGTATATGCAGAGCTGCCAACATGATAAAGGAAAAAATTCGTAAGAGTTTACGGGATTTTCTGCAAAACAATCAAGAAAACTATAGATGTTCAGGGAAGCTGCTGTTCTGCAAAATGACGGGAAATCGTAAATTAATTCAGAAATTGTAAAGAAAAGCAGTGATGATATAAAAAAACGTTATCCGGTACAAATCCTGGACAGAAACTATTGTCTCTATCATCTTACTAAGAACCCAAAATGCTGAAAACGCTCCAGTGTTCAAAGTGTTCTAAAGCTTTTCAGAAGAACAAATTGCAAGTTTAAGTTAGCAGAGTGACATTAGATCATCTAAAAGATGCTAAAATAAACCACTGTTAACTAGGCTGTCAAATGTTTCTAAGTTTTATCTCAAAAAATTGAATTTAACTAATAAAAATACAAAAATATTCATTTCATCATTTTTAGAAAAACGTGATATTAAAATGTTTAAGCTTAAAATTAGTGGAGCGTGAATTAGTAAAAGTCAGACCAGTCCTACTCGGCTGACCTCGGCTACCTAGCTGTCGGTCCAGTTCCTCCTCCGTGATGCTGATCGGGGGAATCTTGGGATAGGGCGACATCCGGTAGGTGTCCTCATACTGCTGGGGTTGTTCCCCGCCCCCCGGGGCCACGTTCTCCTGGTCATACCGAGTGTCCTGTGAAGGGAAACAAATATAACATTGCCCTTATAGAAAGCAAATAGTGTAAATATTTCAATGTATAAAAATAAACATTAAAATGATCTGTGATCTGAGGTTACATGTTACTTTATGTTTGAATAAAAAAAAAATATTTTTATGTTTTAATTCATTTTTCCAGAGTTAAAATATTTCAATTTGAATATCATCTTACATATTTGGCTAAGCTTTCAAATAGTTTCGCTAGGCTAGTATTTTCTCATAGAACGTTCACTTTAAGGGCTCTTTTGTTGCTTAAGAATGCATGTAACTCTATCTATGTACATTGTATTCTAGATCTGTTAAAATATTTCACACTTTTGTTTTTATTAAATACAAGCAGCTTGCATTACCTTTACATTATCAAATATACCAAATAAAGATCGATACAAACTTGTTCGTTATAGTGACATTCTCCTCAAAATGAATGTTAGACACGATACCTTACATATCAATTATCATATCAATGGATTAGAAATACACAAAATCTGAAATATTTTCATCAAATCTATCTTACTCATTCAACAAAGAATTTTAAAATAGAACAGACGAATATCCCTGCATATCATAAACAAGTTCAAAGGTTAAAATCAATATTTATACCCAATGAATACGAGGGAAGACGTTATACATGTTTTCTACAATATTATTCCTACCTCTCCCTCAGAACTAAAGCTTCCGCCAATATCCCAGTAACAACACAGATTACAACTTGATATTTACTTTTTTAAAGTTTTAATTAAAATTAATACTTTAATAAGAATTAAAAGCGCACGGGGGGGGGGGAGGGGGGGTTACTCTAGTAGTATTTTTATGTTCATTCTTAATTACATGTAGATGCTGGTTTCCCTTTTCCTTTTAAGTTTTCAATCTTTTTTGTTGCTTTAAGGAGGCTGGGGGTCAACAAATTAACCAAAAATTAACCACCAGGTTTAATCTATTTTTTTAGATACGGTATCTTAAGCTGTCAACTATACATTGGCAAAGAAAAAATTATCAGTGGTCTGGATTTCTAAAAAAAAGTCTAGGAAAAACAAAGATGACAAATATCTAGTGAAAAAAAGCTTAAATGGAATACTGAAGCGTGTCTAGTGTTGATAAAAGTAAAACCTTGCCTGACTATGATTTGGTCCTCACTTATCAACATAGACTTCCCTCCCACACCCCCGTCACCTCGTCCAGATGGTATAACACCAAAAATTCTTAAACAGTTCTCCTCTTCCATTTATAAATCACTTCTCAAACTTTTAAATGAGTCACTTAATTTTAAAAGATTACCAAATTTATGGAATGTAATATCAGTAAATGAAAATAAAGAACAGTATTCAAGCTAAAAAAAAAATCTTGGAGCAGAGCAAATACGGACCTCCTAAACATCAGAGGTGGGATCAGGTGCCATGGAGGAGTGAGCATCCTCTGTCGACCGGTCACACGCGCCATGTGCTCTTGTTCATGAATCGGAAAATAATGGATCCCGATCCGGTCATTGAATCGACCATAGAACTTACGAAATGAAGACTTTAAAAGAGACTGCTGATATTTTTGTTTCATTAACTTGTTTGTCAATAATTTACCTCATTTTAGAAATTGTACATAGGTAGAACGTGCTCTTTTCCAATAAATATTCAGTTTTTTTCTATGGTTGGTACCGTAGCTCTCTGGTCTGTCAATGTATATTTTGTTTCGGGGAGCTGCAGTTAAAACGGGGAAAAAAAGTTTTACACAAATTTTGCAACAATAAAGAAGATTGGCGCATTTGGCGCGTGATCTGCAGGAATCATTTGTACGAAACATGTATGGTTTAAATGTCCATGATTAGGTTGGCTGAACACATAGCTGATCTGATTTTAGAAACACAGGCAACCATAGGATTTTTTTCAATTAGTTTGAAATACCTTGTCAAATTGTAACATTGATGTACGTTTTTCTTAGGAGATACAACAACATAGTAATGTTTCACAAAAATAAACACCTATAAGATTAAAGGCATAGAGGATAAGTGTATATGTACATCAAGGTAATCGGTTTACGTAGAACAGAAGATTGGAATTGATTTTGCTCTAGGTGCAACTGAGCCAAAATTTATTTAATTCAAAATTTGGATAAATCAGTACAGATAATGTAATCTATTTTTGGAAAAAGTTAATTTTTTATGGTCTCTGGGTCTTCTCTCCATTTTTTTTCAAATGTATGTTCGTTTCTTTGAATTAAAATGCACACAAATAACGTTTCAAAATCATGGAGAGTAGACACAGAGGTAGAAAAAATTTAGAAAAACGTGTTTAAAACTGTGCCATTTTGTACCAAATGTCTGATCTAGCCAATTTTCAAGTTATATTTTAGCAAATCAAAACTCACCTTCGGGAAAATATTTTCCTTTCCCATTTCACAGGAACCCGATGAATAAAAACAAAATGTTAAAATTCCATGTGGCATGTCTAATGCCAATCAAAAGCGCCCTCTTTCTTTGAGCCCCCCACCCACCTCCCCCTCTCTCTTTCTCTCTCTCTCTCTCTTACACACACACACACACATACATTATTGTCATAGACACCCCGGTTCTTAGACAAGAAACTTAATCTAAAAATAATGAGGTTTACATTCATAACATTGTTAATAAGTATTTATGAAATATATAATTTTTTTGCACTTTTCATTTTTTTTTTATTTGTGTTTATGCAGACAAGAGTGGGAGACAATTCCATGCGTCACCTATCACCAGTTACTACTTGTTCTAATCTCCTGGTTCAATGCTTTAGGAGAGGATTGTTTTAAGTCAAATTAAAAGATCCCGGAAGTCTCCGGGCCTGTGGTATTTGATGCAGAAGTATGGAAAACAAGATGTGTTTGTGAAACACTGATGCCCCCGTATGGCAACATAGCGAAGGTTAAGCTTTCTCAAATGCAGATCAAATATTTTGATACCAAAAGTAAGGCCTTTTCACAAGAAATGCAAAATGATAAACGCTAGCTTCACCTGTTCCAGGGTTGTGACCAAGGTTAACATTTTATAAGATAGGAAAAACTCCGGGTCAAGGTTGTTGGTTTGTAAAGAAAGGCCTTGTCTCAAAGATTACGTATGGGAAGTATGAAAGCGCTGGCCCTTATCGTTCAAAAGTTGTGGCCAAGGTTAAAGTTTGTAAAAAGTAGGTCAAACTCTAAGGTCAAGGTCAAAGGGCCAAGATTCTTGAAATCCAATGAAAGGTCTTGTCACAAGGATTACACATGTGAAATATGAAAGCTCTAGCCCCTACTGTTCAAAAGTTATGGTCAATGTTAAAGTTTGTAAAAAGTAGGTCAAACTCCAAGGTCAAGGTCAAAGGGTCATGGTTCTTGATATCAAATGAAAGGTCTTGTCACAAGAATTAAATTTGTGAAGTATGAATGCCCTAGTCCTAACCCTTCAAAAATTATGGTCAATGTTGTATTTTTAAAGTAGGTCAAACTCCAAGGTCAAGGTCAAAGGTTCAAGGTTCTTGGTATCCAATGGAAGGTCTTTTCATAAGGATTACATACGTGAAGTATGAAAGCCCTAGTACTTATTGTTCAAAAGTTATAGCCAATGTTAATGTTTTTTCATAAATATGGAAATCTCCAAGGTCAAGATCAAAAGGTTAAGGTTGTTGGTATCCAATGAAAGGTCTTTCCACAAAAAATACATATGTCAAGTATAAATGTCCTGGTATCTATTGTTCAAAAGACATGGTCAAAGTAAAAGTTCAAAATTTTGATGTTAAAGTGGGTCAAACTCCAAGGTCAAGGTCAAAAGGTCAAATTTGGTGGTACCCAAAGAAAGATCTTGTCACAAGGAATACAAATGTGAAATAGGAATGTCATAGCTCCACTTAATCAAAAGTTATAGGCATTGTTAAAGTTTTTGCGGACAAACAGACAGACACGACAAGAACTCTATACCCCCGAAACTTCGTTTACGGGGGCAAAAAATCCAAAACCAATTCCATCCATTAACCACTGAGAATTTTTGTTATCGCCTGGTCCCCTGAACTCCTTATACACGTATTTTTTGCAGTTACCATCATTTGTTTTGGAATGTTGTATCTTATAGGTGTGCATTGAGGTTTTGGACTTTTCGTTTCACCCTAGGGGTGATTGTGGGAGGGGGGGGGGGATAAAACTTGTTATTATGCGCCCGAATCGATAAATCCAGGGCGTATATTGTTTTTGTCCTGTCTGTTTGTCTGTTTGTCTGTCTGTCTGTTGTCAACTTTAACCTTCACCATAACTTATGAACAATAAGAGATAGAGACTTCATATTTGGTATGCATACTGCACTAATTAAATTCTCTCAAATTACATCAAGGTCAATGACCTTGTACCTTGACTGTGACCTATATGCTAAAAAAAGCTTTTTTCGAATTTTTGCCATAACTTTTAAACCATAGGAGATAAGGACTTCATATTTGGTATGCGTACTCCACTAAAAATTAAGTTCTTTCAAATGACATCAAGGTCATTGACCTTGTGACCTTGACTGTGACTATTTACTAAAAATAGCTTTTTAGAATTTTTGCCATATCTTTTGAATCGTAGGAGATAGGGACTTCACATTTGATATGCATACTCCACTAATAAAGTTCTTTCAAATGACACCAAAGTCAATGACCTTGTGAACTTGACCATGATCTATATGCTAAAAATAGCTTTTTCGAACTTTGTTGCCGCCGGGCGCATAGTGTTTCACAAACACATCTTGTTTTTTTCATGCAAAAGTCTGGTTTCTTGAATTCTTCATACCCTTCTCTTGTCCTCCAATCATAGTTTGAAATGATGTAATTGAGAGTCATGCAGTAAGATTCCAGAGTTTTGATGTTCACCCTGGAGGCAAATGGGCGTCAAAAATGTTTTCTGTAATTCGTTGCTTCCCTGAACTCCTTTTACATTTTTTATAGTGACTGCAGTGACCAGCTCATATTTTGAAATGTGGTTGGGAGTGTGTTTTTAGATGTGCAATAAGGAATGTTTGTTTTTACCCTAGGTTTGAAAGAGGTTAAAAAGCGTCGTATTTTTGAAAAAAAAAAAACGCCTCCTACTTTCTCTAACATTTTTTTTTTTTTGCAGAAGCTGATGCACAATTTAGAATGTGATTGGGAGTTTTGGAATTTGATTTTCATCCAACGGCTTAAAATATTTTAATATCACATAAAGCTTCAAATTCATTTATTGTATAATGAAATATGCATCCAGACCCTTTAGAAACATGTTCATGTAGAAAACTAGTACATGTATATACATCATAGAACAGCTTTGCTATATACCATTGTGAAAATTTTGATGGCCCCGAAATCAAGACAATAATCTGATAGGTATAATGATTGGAAATGTACATTGGAATTCACCGACATGATGTCTTTTGGAATTCTTCTCAATTTTCCTTCTTTCTATAGACAGCAACAAACTCTGTAAAAATAGGAACAGCATTCAATGACGAACCTAAGTAAAAACGCACGAAGAAGGAGAATATATATTTGGAGGCAAACACTTACGTGCATGTTTTACTGTCTGATGAGAACATTTGGTTTTACGTTTGCAGTCTGGCCAATCAGAAGGCTAGAAATTGTGTGTTTTGTTGTTCATTGACCCTACCTTGTGGTATTTGCTTAAAATTAGTTCATTCAACCGAGATTTAATTTCACTACGGACAGGCCTTTTATTTCTAATACGGCAATAAAATAGCGTAAGGAAAGGTTTCTTACAAATTCAATGTTTCATTTAAGTTGGCATTAAAAATTGTATTCCCTGAACAAACTATTGAATGAATAGTAAGTAAAGATTTGCTTAACAAACTCAGAGAAAGACAAAATGACCTCAGAAGTCCATTGAACAATATAAACTTTGAGCAGAGTAACCACGGACCTCCTAAACATCAGAGTTGGGATCAGGTGCCATGGCGGAGTGAGCATCCTCTGTCGACTGGAGACACCTGCCGATTGCCTCTTGATATGATCGGGAAAAAGAAAATGTGTAGAAATTCATTGTGTAAATAATTGCCTAACAATTTGTATGCAAAAAGTCAGCTAATATTCGACTTAATGATTGTTTTTGCTGACAAGGTCATTGTACTGAATATAGTTTGCCAAACTAGTGTCTTGCAGTGGCTTAGAAGAAACTACTTGTATATCAAATGTATTTCTCTAGTATACCCGCTTCTCGTATCGCAGATCTCTTTTGTTTCGCCGTGGTTGTACTTTTAAAATTGATTTGTCT